GAGGGGGAGTACTGTAGCGAAGGGTAAACTGTGTATCAATTATTATTATTGTCATTGTTATTATTGTCATTATTATTATTATTATTGTTTACTTAGTGTACAACAGACTAATAATATTGTGGTTACATATTATTTTCACGCATGCGCACAAAAATTATCAGTTGTCTAACTCATGCTCACTCTCTCTCTCTTCTCTCTCTTCTGTTCTGTTTGGACATCTCTCATTATCACTTCTAATCGTTCTATTAACGACTCTTTGAGTCCTATTATTGAAAGAGATTGTTTATTAACAAAATAGTTTGGTTATAAACCAACATATGTGTGATTTTATTGATGTTTTTCTGTGTCATTATTGGTTCTTTCTCTTTAGCTTTTGATTAGAGAGAAAGCAATGTTAGCACTGAAGGCTTGCCTGAGACTAGTAGCTGAAAGGGAAGACAAGGAAACCATCAGCATTCGCTATTATGAGGTAAATAGGACACATGCATGTGTATACATGTAAATGTGCATTTATACTTTTATACTACATATATTATATTAATTTATTCGTTGAATGTGTGAAGGAATACTTTGATTAAAACATGCATATTATACACAAATATGCTATAGTCCTACTAAGATATTAAATTTTGTTTTATTTGTATGTACATGTATGTACACAATGTAAATGTACATGTACACGTACATACAATAATATTATACATGTACATGTATCTAAGTAGATCTTGATAGGATAGATAGTTTAGAATATTATGATTATAGGATTAATTGTATCTTAATTAATGGATGATTATGTAGTTTAATGTAATACAGTCATAATTTTAGTGCAAGTAGTAATAAAATTATTGTAGCACCTTAATTAAAAGGCACTTTCAGATTATTAATTGCTATTGAATCAAAATTATAATTATTAATTTATAATAGGTAGTCACAACATGTCATATAGACCTTCTAGGCACAAAGATTATTTTCAATGAATATGATTACAATAATAATATTCATTCATAATATATAAAATTTTCCTATACGGTATCCACCCACGATGTAAATTATTGACGGCAAGAAAGCCTCAAGATCAAAAGAAAATCAAAGGCGGTGACACCGCTTGGCCATTGTCCTGAGCACTACAAGGTACTACAGGCTTACAAGCAGCATTTGTGGAAAGTATGGAGGCCAGACTACATCATATAGACCAGGTAACTGTTGCTGCAACATAGTTCTCTTGCTATGCTTCATTTCGGCACCTTGGGCTTTGATCTGCCTTTGATGTGGAGAGCTTCTTGCCGTCAGTAATTTTAATTGTGGGTGGCTACCGTAAATAATTCATACAAAATAGTCTTAGCGCCTAGGGGGTCTATACCAACTCATGTATAGTGTATAGTGGTATAAGCATCTTGCCTTTGCCTCTTGTGTTATAAGCCACCAAGCTTGGTACCAATAAACTATCATACAGCACTAGACAGTGTGTCATTATAAATTTTGGCTGATGATATTAATGAAAGCCACATAGTGGAGCTCATAAGTTTACTAGTACACTGCCCTTTCCAATTCCCATGCAATGACTTACAATAGACTAAGCAACAGATGAGCAGTTACTATTCCTCAGTGTAGTAACAGTTACATGTAGATTTGGCTGTAATTAGTAACATAGTTCTTTATGATTTAGACAGTATATAGTTCAATCCTATTGCATTATATAAAGGCATGGGCATATAATTTTGTCTGTCATGCTTTTTGTGTAGATTAAGAATCTTTAATACATTAAGGAAAATCTTGGACATGAAGACTGTATTGCTCATGTGCTGTCTTGTAGCCTCTGTAATAAGGTAGGTGTACATACAGTTCTTAATATGACTTTTGTATAATTACTGTAGCAAGACTCCTGTTTCTCTCAAGATGGGCTGTCAACAGTCTACTACTTCTGCTGTTGATTGTTCCTTTCAGTTCACTAATGTGGCAGATGAAGACTATTATCTCCTCAAGCGTGACACTCCTCTTGAAGGACTCCACTCTTCTTTTGTCTCTGTATCTCGTGATGGTGTCCCCCTTCAATATGAAGGATGTCATTTCTATCGTGCTCCTCCTCAAAAAGATGAATTTATTCTTCTAAAGGCAGGAGAGAGTGTAACAGCAAGTGCTCAAATTAACAATATCTTTACTTTTTCTTCTGATGGAATGTACAACATACGATACAATAAACCACTGGAGGTCTTGCTAAAAGATAAGATGGAACTGCAGTCTGACTCTGAGGACATACATGTAGAAGAGGTAGATCTAATGAAAGTAGAAGTTAGCGAGTCTGTTGACATTCAATTGGAGAACACTGACCTTCTCTCACGTCCAGTCAAAGAAGAGGTCAAAGAAAGTGATGAGGTTTACATGGAATCATGTGATAATGTAGCCAAATTTGTTGGTGGTTCAGCTGCAGTCCGTGCTGAAACTGTTTTAGCTCACAACAAGTTATGCAAAGGCCTTATCCATGCAAGAAGTGAGGTTGGTAACAATCAAAGATACAGAACATGGTTTGGAGCTTATACTCGTAGACGTATGAACACAGTCAGAAATAAATTTTGGCAGGCTTTTGAAAGGATTATGGATAACTGTGTCACCTATGATTTTAATGGAAGAGCCTGTGATAGATTAAATAACAATAATCGGGCAGTATATGCATACTCATGTTATCACAATAATGCCATGTTTATGTGCAAGGGTTTTGCTGGACTTCCCACCTTTTGCAACAGACGCAATGCTCGCACTAATAAAGAAGGATTATTTGCTGGTTTTTGGACTAGAATTGCTGGTAATACGAAATTGGATAGAGATCGACTAAAAGTATCTGAATGCAGAAGGCTAGCAAGAAATAATCCAAATAGAGCTGTCAATAATGTTGGAAACTACGGATTCTACTATTGTGCTGTTGCCGCTTAGGATTGTTCAGCCATGCAAGGATTTTATATTTATTATAGTATATTGTTAGAACTTTGAGTACATTATAGGTTGTCTTTTATACAGATAGATCTATTATTTCTCAATAAAATGTTTTCATAGAAATAGTATAATAATAAAAATACACTGTCTATATGCATTAACACTTTGCCGAGTATAGTGTAGCTCCTATACTACAAACACTTTGGTACAATAAAAGTTGTTTGTTATGCAGAGGTGTCAGTCCTTTATGTGGAGGCAAGTGGTGGAGGTTATTACAGTAAGGAATGTAATTGGTATACTAGGTATTGGTAAATGGAGTGTACAGAGTGATCATTATAAGAGAGGTACCACTGGGTATACTGTAATAATGATACTAGTAATTATTATAAATCTTATATTCACTAGCATTAGTGTAGCTGAAGCCTAAAGCTTTCATAGGCCTGGCTCCAAAAAATTATGTGCTATATGTGCTGTGCTATGTGTGTCAAAGGCTTAGATTTAATTTATTAAAGTAACACTGTTAGAATTGAACTGTACAAAAGAGTTTTAAAAAACAAAAAATGGTTCATTCCATTAAGTTTACCAGCAAAAATACTCAGAATGACTATTACCAATTTTTTAGTTATTTTATAAATGAAGAATGTGTCTAAAGCTCTAGTATATTACAGAAAAAAATGGACTACATACCTGATCTATAGTGCATTTACTGGACCAGTAGACACACTGTATACTGAAATAGAAATACTGAAGGGATTGATCTCTGTACTTTTTTATTACTACATGGCCTGGCTGACATAAAATAATGTGCCATGTTAAGTCTTTGTGGCACTATAGCCAACCATAGCCACATTTAGGTAGAACACATGATGTACTATGTAGCTATTTAATTTCGCAATTCTTTTATTATTGCATTAACACACACACACATGCACATTAACAAAAGTACAACTTGTATAATATGCTAATTTATAATTTGGACTGAACTCTATCCTAAACTGCTGGTTAAAATACAACGCTTGATTTATGAGGTTTCATGCATGCAGTCCTAAGTCAATTAAGCAGCATCGATCACTGCAGTTGCCAATATAGGATGATTCTCAATAATATTTGTAGCCATAACATTCAATATACAGTTGAATTGTATGATTTGGTTGTGATGAGTAACTGCTTTGCCAATAGGATGATTCTCCAAATTTGGATATGCTGCATTGCCAGTAAGACAATTCATAATTATTTGGGCAGTTTAATAACATAAATAGGCATAAGCAAATCATTCTGTATATCTTGCTCCAAGTAAAAATCTTGTATCAAAGAGCATCATGTCCACAAAGTCAAATACTATATTCCTTATGTGCTGTCTTGTAGCCTCTGCTATAAGGTATAGTATAGAGTATTGCTTATATCTATAATTGTATTGTTGCATATAGTAAGATTCCTGTTTCTCTCAAGATGGGCTGTCAACAGTCTACTACTTCTGCTGTTGATTGTTCCTTTCAGTTCACTAATGTGGTAGATGAAGACTACTATCTCCTCAAGCGTGACACTCCTCTTGAAGGACTCCGCTCTCCTTTTGTCTCTGTATCTCATGATGGTGTTTCTCTTCAATATGAAGGATACCTTTTTTATAGTATGCCTCCTCTGAAAGATGAATTCATTCTCCTAAAGGCAGGAGAAAGTGTAACAGCAACAGCTCAAATTAACAATATCTTTACTTTTTCTTCTGATGGAATGTACAACATACGATACAATAAACCACTGAAGGTTTTGTTAAAAGATAAAATGGAGCTGCAGTCTGACTCAGAGAACATAGAAGAGGTAGATCTAATGAAAGTAGAAGTTAGTGAGTCTGTTGATATTCAATTGGAGAACACTGACCTTCTCTCACGTCCAGTCAAAGAAGAGGTCAAAGAAGGTGATGAGGTGTACAGTCAAGCTTGCAATAATATATTTCAGTTTGTTGGTGGAAATTCAAATGCTCGTGATGATACTCGTCTAGTTCATGACATGTTATGTGATGGCCTTCTCCGTGCAAGAAATAATGTCCGTAGATCCCCTTTGTACAGAAGATGGTTTGGGGATTTTAATCGAAGACGTGCAAATGTTGTGAGGTCAATTTTACAAAAAAGTCATGACAAGATTGCATACAACCGTTTAACTTATGACTTTACTGGAGATGAATGCACTGGCAGTAATTTTGCATACACATGCTTTCACAGTAATGTAGTCTTCCTGTGTGACCTGTATATTGGACATTCAGCATTCTGCGGTTCTGCTATGTATAATAAAGAAAGGACACTGGCACATGAGTGGACTCATGCTGGAGGCAATACATGGGATCATATTTATGGATCAGCTGAGAGTCAACAACTTGCTACTGACGAACCTGACAAAGCTGTTGATAATGCTGATAATTATTCATTCTTTTACTGTCGACGGTAGATCCAGTTAGACATGCCGGCAAGAATTAATAATAGGCCATTTTGTAACAATGCATGCATTTAGCCATTTTTGTTAAAAATATTGCTGTAGGCTATTTTTGGAATTGCAGATAATGAATTAACAGAAAGATAAATGCATTATGTTTATATAAGGTCAAAGACATAAGGACATTGTTATGCATTATAAAATAAAATACAAAAATTATCGGGAGACGATGATTGTGTTTGTGATACAATCAATTACAGTGTCATTAAAATACAGATATGACAGGGAAACTTTTAGACTAATGAGGATATAAAATAAACAACTTACGGTATCTTTCACTGAATGCAAATTATTTTTCAAATTAGTACATCATTATCCATAATAGATGTCCTTCAAAATGCTGCTTACTGGAAGCAGCAGGTACTAGGTTTAGAGTAAAAAAATGAAAAAGTAATTACATTGCATGCAAAAAGTACTGATTTTAAAGATTTATTTGCAGTGTTAGCTAATGCATTTTAGTTTTACCTGTGTTTCATGTTACAGCAATGGCCCATAGGTTGGGAATGTAATTATAATTAGGCCACGCCTAATAATTTAACGTTACTTGTCACGTGATCTCATCATCTGGTCAAGATGGCGGCTTGCTGAGCTGATCAATAAACTGAGTTATAAGGACTGTAGTCATTAGTACAATGGCCCAGTTCTTTCAGAACCTGAAGCACCGGAATGAAGAGATACGCCTGAAGGCTGCTCGTGATCTACAGCGTTTTGTACAGACGGAACTGAGAGAATTACCCAATGAACGATATCAGGCTCAACTGGACGAGATCAACCAGTGTATATATGCCTCAATCATCAGTACTGACGTCCACGAGAAGAAAGGAGGCATTCTAGCCATTAGTAAGTGGTACTGATAGTGTGTTATTTAAATTATACATGAATCATGATTAAATTAAATTATTGTATTAGAATTAAAGTAAACGAATAAATGCCATAAAAATGGAATATTTTAAGTTGACTTTAATTTTTGGAAAAAACCATGGGCTGTAGCCTTTGCTAAGTTTGCTTTAATGCATGTTAAAATGCTTGTTTTTAAAATGCTCATAACTCGAAAAAATATTTGTCGGAATTAGTTCAGACATGCACCAATATGTATCAGAAAAAGTAATAAAAATTGGTGGTGATTTAGTCTGTGATAATTATTAATGATTTTAATTTTTGATATGTGAATTTCATTCCTTTTTTCTTACAGTTAGTTTAGTAGCTTTGGAAGGTACTGTCCAAAGACTCGGTCGTTTTGCCAATTACCTTAGAGCCATTATACCTCATCAAGATGTCTCACTGACTGAAATGGTAGCGAAAGCTATTGGACAACTAGCACTCTGTGAAGGGAATTATACAGCAGGTAAGTATATGCATGTAGAAAAGCCTGATTAGATGTAGGAAACTATTTAATCTGCCCGAAAGTGATGTTAAATTAGCATATACATGTAATACCGTATACTGGGATATTTTTGTGTCGCTAAATTTTTCACAAATTTTGCATTTGTAAGATTTCACGAAATAATATTTTCGCGAATAGCTTGTAAACTCCACCAGATGGCAATGGAAATTCAGAATTTCATGATTTTTATTTTCGCGACGGAGCAAGAAAACGTGAAATCCGCGAAAATTTGGCTACTCGAAAATTTCCCAGTATACAGTATATTAGTCTTGCAACTGCACTGTGTGAATTGATCAGTAACTAGTTTCAGTGATGATTATAACAGTCATTCTTCAGCCCACTTGGCTGTCCAATTACTTTGTATGGCTGGCAGAATGCATCTCTTCTCTGATGGTTATAATATTGATTCAGCCATTACATGTGTGATTCTGATATCCCATTTTTCAGCCTTCATTTATAAAATATGCACATTGTATAGTTTAAGATAAATGCATTATTATAATATAATATTTTAATTCGTAGAGTATGTTGAGTTTGAGATAAAGAGGGCCCTGGAGTGGTTAGGAGGTAATGATAACAAGAAGCTTGCTGCAGTCCTCATCCTCAGGGAACTGGCTCTTCACACGCCCACTCTCTTCTACATGCAGTTCCAACAGTTTTTTGATAACATTTTTTCTGCTGTCCGTGATCCAAAGGTAACGCTAAGTTGTAACTCTTAGCAGATAAATTGTTTTAGAATCCTTGTTTGATAATTTACATCTACATACATTGTACGTAAATTATAATATCAATTACTGCCCAATTGCTACATTGTACATTATATGTGTGATCTTCTTGATGTTTTTCCATTCTTATATGTCATTATTGGTTCTTTCTCTTTAGCTTTTGATTAGAGAGAAAGCAATGTTAGCACTGAAGGCTTGCCTGAGACTAGTAGCTGAAAGGGAAGATAAGGAAACCATCAGCATTCGCTATTATGAGGTAAAATAATACACACACACATACATGTACATGTACATGCATGTGTACATGTACATGCATGTACATCTATACTTTTACAGTACAATAGTACATGCATAATATTACATTTATTTATACACAAATAATATGCTATAGTCCTACTAAGATATTAAATTTTGTTTAAGTTGCATTTATTGTATGTACATGTACATGTACATGTACATGTACATGTACATGTACATGTACATGTACATACAATAATATTATATTTATAATCCCATCTCATACATTACTATTGTTATACTGTATTTCTGCTAGTTGGCATATAAAGAAGCAGTATCTGGACTGGTTGATGGTGTTGGCAGTGTCAGTGGTAGTGGATCTAAGGACAAAGCTGGTAACCTTGGGAGAGATGATCGTATTCATGGGTCACTGCTCATCATTAACGAGCTGATCATGAACTGTGCCTTCCCTGATGAAGTAAATAATGCTATACAGTTTTGCCAGTATATAGTGTAATGTACTAATAATGAATGGACAGTATTTCTTGTACTTGCAATGTACATAATGTTAAGTACATGTACATGTAGTTCAAATAAATGTATTACAGTATAGCCTGCTATTGTGGACACTCTAAAATAAGGAGGCCTCTATAATGAGGACAGGTAGTATCAGTCCCAATACAATAGTAATGTGTATTAATGAACCTCTGAAATAAGGACAGGTTCATAATCAGGAGGGTATTATTGGGTACCAAGGTGTCCGGAATTAGTAATAAAATTATACTTATTGACAATATACATGTACATGTACATGTATCCAGTGATTACTGATACATGTACATTGTACATTGTACATGTACTCTTTAATATGTAGTGATTGTCCTAGCATGCAGATATTAACATACAGAATAACGATAGTTATTTTTACTATTATTGTTACATTAATTGTGTGTTTTTATACATGTAGAGTGTTCGTGAGGAATTATTGGAAGATCATGAAAGTGAAGATGTGATGGGACTCTCTTCACTCATCAATTGTTCTGAAGCTAAGTCGGTCTCTTACTCCAGTGCAGCCAAGAATCAGGACACTGGAGGTTAATGATTGATGCATATACTGACACACTAAAGGCTGCATGCTTTATAATATTATGCTAGTCCTGATGCTACGTTGACGCAGGAATAGAATCTGGTTCTATTCTAACAGAAAGCATGCGTCAAAAGGTCAAACCACCCACGCTTTTGATTAAAAATTGACAGTACACTGACCTAATGTCGTATTGTAAACCAGCCTTTACTGTACATATACATGTATGCCTTAAATGAAGATGTTCATGTACATGTACTTGGTTTCCCACAAGATTTTGGCATGTAGTGCTCATGCAGCTTCTTTGTCAAGTTGCTCAAAATTTCGTCAAAAACAAAAAGGAGAGAATTTTTCATTTTTATAATTTTTCCTGATGCATGTACATGTACTTATGTTGTGTAGAAAGTTTGAACTGATTCTGATCAAAATTAAATTTTTTATGAATTTTTAAAGTTACTCCAAAATCAGGCCAAAATCCCTGTACTATAGTACAGGGATTTTGGCCAAATTTCATCAAAAATTAAAAGGAGAGAATTCTTTATTTTTATAATTTTTTCTGATCCATATACATGTACTTATGTTGCGTAGAAAGTTTGAACTGATTCCGATCGAAAATAATTTTTTTAATGAATTTTTAAAGTTGCTCCAAAATTGGGCTAAAATCCCTGTACTATTAGTAACGCGGTAGCGTTACTAAGTAGGATTCACCCCCAAACAAAATGGCTGCCACGACTTTTGCAGCCTTGCTATACTGAGAAAACGAGCTCCTGTGCTTACCAGACTTCTTAGAGGACCTTATCTTGACCAGAGGACTCCATTGGTACCACTAGTGTGGCTCTAAACCTTGTCTAAGAGGAAAATGAAAAATCGGCAAAACGGCCGTTTTGTTCAGCCACTTTTTTTTCATCTTCATCTTCATCATCAAGTCCTGTCAATCCAGTTGTCGGTCGATATCGCAATCTTTCCTGGTGATAGAAGGCTAATTCTTACACCATTCTACTCCAACAGGGTATGCGCAGGTCCTTGTCCCCTAGAATCATTCTCCAAGAAAGGAAGAAGTGATACTGTGACTGTTGGATCGCACCAGCTTACCTCATGCCGCCATTTTGTTAATTAATTTATTAAAGAAGCATCAAGCATGTGCTCCAAATTTGGACGTGATCGCGCATGCTCAGATCTCAGAACTGGGAACAGCAAGTATTTTTTACCTAGCTATAGGCTAGCTACGCTTGGAATCAAATTGCAATACTTGGTGGAGGTTTCCAGCTAAGAGAAGGTATTAATCTTGCATATATCAAGTGTGTAATGAATTATTTTATTTCAAAAACACAAAACAATTAATTAATGTTATAATACTAATGATAATATGAACTTGACAACAGGAAGAATCAGCAGGAAGATAGAGCTTCTTGAACAAGGATTCACGTCAAGACTATAGTATTCATTTCACTTGTCATCCGCAGTATAGTAGATATTCCTTCACCATATCTATTCAATTCAATCAGTGCTGTCCCTCATAAATGCTGTAAAATCATTCATAACTGACAATGACAATAATAATAAAGAAACTTATTGTTTGTGTAAAATCAAAAAGTATCACAATTGTAACTG